GCACCCGGCCAGACATGGCCTAGCCCAGAGGAGAGTGCCTGAGAGTCTGCAAGGGGTAGCGAGCTGGCACCCGGCCAGACATGGCCTAGCCCAGAGGAGAGTGCCTGAGAGTCTGCGAGTGGTAGCGAGCTGGCACCCGGCCAGACAGAGGCACGGCTTCCTTGCACGAGAGGCAGGGGGTAATATGGTGACTGACAGTCCAAGGCACCTGGATCATTTTCTAAGAGACAGGCTCTGGCTCAAACAGGAGTTAATTCAGGGAAATCCTACGGCCTGTATTATACAGGAGTCAGACTAGATTAATCACATGGATCCTTACTGGCCTGAGACTACACGACACTGACTCAACATGGCACTCTGCTATAATAAATCAGCAGGTGGAAAATAGCAGCATGGCCAGAAATTGTTCTCAGGTTTCTGTGCAGCATGTGTGATATATCATCCTTCAGAAAAGAGCCCCTCGTACGTCAGCCATGCAAGTCAGCAGGGCACATTCCACAAAAGTACAGACCCCTGGAAAGAGGTGGGCAGGAGCCACTTGCCTACAGGTCATTCTCACAATTTCTGCCCCGGGTAAGGTTTGAATCAACATGGATTGCATGGGTATAGTGCAGGTTCAATGACTACAGGTACTGTGGAAATGGGCTCTGCCCATCCCCTTCCTCGTCTGGCTGCGCGTGCACCTTTCAGTCTCAGCACACAACTGATTGCAAACCCCATTCGAGAGAGCTGAACTCTTCCTTTAACAACTTTCAATGTGGCTTCCCCAAAGGGGCAGTGGGTGCCACGCACTAGCTGAGGCAAGGGCTACGTGATGGACAAATCAGGGCCAGGGTTTGATCCTCAGATCTATGCAAAGAAGTTGTCAGAACCTGCTGATTTTGTAAAATACTGTTTTCCCCCCAGGGAGCTATATCTCAGGAACTTTTTGCTCAAATGAACCCAAATGTAGACCATTCACCCTCCCATGAGTCACAGAACATTTCAAGCCACTCTGAGTAAGCATGCTGAGTTTAGAGAAATTAGGAGAGGCATCCTTTAAATAGAAAGTGGTGCTCAACCATACAGTGGAACCAGCACTGCCCTATAATCGTAACTGGGTATGCTGCCCCCAGAGTGCCCCCTTGCGGCCTATGGTGGGACTACAACAGTCCTGCCTCAGTTTCCCCTTCTCAGGACTCCTTAAAAGCTTCACACAGTCCAAGGTATTCAGAACAGATTCCCCCTGCTGAGTTGTTGTGACAATTAGTCTCTAACTTTGGCCTGCTTCAGAATTTACCATGTAAAGCAGGTCAAGTTATTTTCAATAAAAAGTGTTATAAAAAGGTGCAAGACAACCAGACAGACTGAATTAGTTCATGTTGATAGAATTCAAGAATTATATTGAATTTATGCTTGGTAAAAACAGAAGATGACACAGGATCAGAAATTAATTAACCCAAAATTGGTGGGTTGGATATTGGGCCTAACTGGAAGACAAACTAATGAGGAGAGGGGCTACTCCACCCATCACTCCCTTTTTGGGTCTTAAAAGAACAAAAAGGCCTGTGGGAAAAAGAACAGCTAGAAGAACAGAGGGAGACACTGAAGCAAGCTCCCCCATCATGGATGCCCCCACCCCCCCTCGTGGGCCCTGGACCGTCTCTGAGGGATGTCCCGACCTGCTTCCTGTCCCACTGACATCACCACCCCTGCTAAAACCCAACCACCACCGCAGAACAAATGGGTTTGGATTTAACAGTAGCAGCAGCAGCAGCTCCACCCATCTCAGCTGGCGTCTCTGTTCCCCACAAGGACAGTTAGCACCATCAGAGAGACTCAAACCAGGGGCTTTTCCTACTAAGACTCTCTCCAGCTAAAGGGGGCGGGAACAAGGGAGGCTGCTCCAAGGAAAGTCTTATCCAATACTTCACATTTCATAGGCTCTTCTTTGGCCTTCTTCACATCCCCCAGCCCTTCCAGCTGGAGTGCAACCCTGCTCTTCCCAGCAAGAGGAGCGTCTCTGCTGGGAGCTCATCTGCACCAGGGCCCTCCCTTCCCCAGCTCACACCCCTCCAGCCCTCTGGTTCTAGCTCTCCAGCATGGAGACATCAGTGGCTAAGTCCCTCCACCATTGCCCGGCCTTCAGCCCTCTCTAGCCCTGGAGAGATCAGCTGGCAAACCCCTCTTGCTGCTTTCTGGCCTTCAGCTTTCCCCCAGGCATCAGCTACAGCGTCCTTCAGGGACCACTTCCGATCTCCAGTAGCTCTCACCTATTACTCTCTTATGCCCAGGCAGCTCTCACCTACCATCTCCTGACCCTCTTTTAAGGTGAACTGGGGTCAGCTGACCACAGGTGCACTGGCCTCTTCCCTCTTAAAGAGGCAGTGTCATCTTCTGACACTTCCCCAGTGGGGCTGTGGGTGGCCAGGCACTAATTGGGATAAATATCAAGCAACTGGGATCAACTGGGGATGCTCAGAGCCTTGGTTTGAGCCCCACATGTGCAAAAAACAAACACACACACAGCCAGGCAGAATCTGTGGATTTTGTGAAATGGTGTTTTTGGAAGCATTCGTGTCAGGAACCGCTGGCTCAAACGAACCCCGATTTGGCTCACTAACCCTACCCTGCATTGCCATGAGGCACAGCAAACTCCAAGACAAGGTGAGTGGGCATATGGATTTCACCGCACTTAGAACAGTCAGAGTTTCTCAACCCGAACTCAAGTGGAGCTGGCACTCCAGTAAGCTACTGCACGAAATGAATCAGCAACCGCTTTGCTATGCTCAGCTGCGTGGCACTGGACAATCCTAAGATTGGACATTTGAGGAAGAACAGGGAAGGATGGAGGGAACGAGCCGCACACATACAGCTGCAGTATACGAGACTCTGAGAGCGAGGTGGCCTGCTCCTAGCTGAGCCAGGACACCCCCTGGAGCTGAATACCGCCTGGAACCATGGCTCTGAGGCACGCAAACTGCTCCATTCATCTCTGGGGGCGTTCTCACACCCCCGCCCCAGTGAGGGCACTTGCTAGCTCATGCCATTCCCCAAGCATGCCCATTCTCAACTTGGTGAACCTCCCACACAAAGAAGCAGGGCTCACATGGAGAGCCAAGGAGAGGGGCTCCCACCCCTCAGAGTGACGGCCTTCACCCTCATGGGGCAGGGAGAGGGGCTTAGACACCCTCAATGGGCAGGAATCCCCAGAGCCCAGCTCACAAGAGATGGCAGGGAAAGGGATGCAGATCCCAGTAATACATGGCAACAGGAACAGAGGTCCCATGGGGCAGGCCTCCCAGGCCCCAGCACACACTCACATTAGGGGAGAATGTGGGGCTGACATAGTTCCCCCCATGCACCCTGCAACCCTGCCCCGTATCACTCCTCCAGTGTCCCTCCCCACACTCAACTCCATTTAGTCCCCTCCCTGCAAAAATTCACAGGTAATTAGAATAGTTTCAGCAGCTCCTGAATTTCCACTCTGCTCAAACTACCCCCCCCCCACCATTTGCTAGAGGCGGCTTGAGCAACAGGTCGACATTTCATTTTCAGATTTTTGCCAAGGGGAGGGTTTGAACTTGCAGTGCACAACAGTAGCTTACGTCCAGCCACAACATGCACCTAAGCCACAAGGTCACGTGAACGCTGGGTGGCCTGAAACTCTTGGCTAGTCTTTCTGAACACATGCACCGCAGTCTGGTGCGGGAGTGTTTAGCACGTGCTAACACAGAGAGCTAAACTCTTCCCAAGAGGCTGTGGGATCCATGCACTAGCTGGGACCAATGTCAGGTAACTGAGATCAAACAAGGGACAATCAGAGCCACAGTTTGAGCCCCTGGTGTGTGCAAAAAACATTGGTAGAATCTGTCAATCTCCAGAACCGGTGGGGGGAGCTGTACCGCAGGAACCCCTACCTCAAGTGGCCCCAAGTTTGGATCACTCCCCCTACCCGATGCCTCCAGGAGGCATACCACATTCCAAGGCAATCTGAGTAAGCGTGTGCATTTTAGCACAATTAGAAGAGTGACCCTTTGAACAGAAAGGGCTTCTCAGGCTGAACTCTAGCAGAGCTGGTGTGCCATATGAGCCTTGCAGGATGTTCATCAACAGTGCAATCACGGCACTCCAGGACTCCTCACGAGCACCCGCTATGGCCCTGTGCGCACAGGAAGCAAGCTGCCTGTTTTACACAGCTGTTGGAAGGGTTCTGTCATGACCACACCTCCTTCCCAGAAGGCCCTGCCCACACATGGAGCCACTTTGGACGATCAGATGTAACTTGTGTCTTTTTTCAGATGTATGGAAAGCACCAGATGGACTGGCCCCTTGCTAGCCACTCGTGCCGCGCTAGGCGCTGTTCCAGGAGGCCAGAGCGTCCTGAGGTGAGCAATTGCTCACTAAGCCAATGTCTGCACATGGCACTGAAGAGGGCACTTGGCAGGGGAAGCAAACCAGCTCCATGTCACTCAGCCGCTTTGCTTTCAGTGCATCTTGTGTTAGAATGGCGCGAGGAAAGCATGAGATGCACGTGGGAGTCGGCTTCTTATGCAAGCATATGCTGAGCCCTGATTAAGGGGACAGGAGCCCCTGTGAATCACAGGTCCTATCACAACCACTGCTGAAAGTGCTACAGCCACTCATCTGGGGACATCTGAATTGTCTCACATTTGGCACCCAAAAGCCAGTAGTAGGATTTGAAGCCATTGCCCTGTATGACTAAATAATGCTCCCAGAGGGCGGCAAGCACGTAAGTCCTGACACTGAAAGCGCTGAAGGTGGGACTCTGGACTGGGCGCAGCAAGAGAATCACTGACAAATTGACTAGACCGTAACTTCTGTTATTTTGTGGGTTTCAGTTTATGGCCTGGCACCCAGGGCAGAAGATGGGCAGCCTGAGAGTTCTGTGTAAGTGGAAGTCTACAAGTCTGAATTGCTGAGGGCTGGACATTGCCTTGCAGAGGAGGAACTCAACCCAGCATCTGAGACAGTCACCCTACCCAAGCAGGAAAGCTTACCTTGCCGTGGGTCATACTGTCGCATCTGCACTTCCTCAACGCATTCTGCCGGGAACCAACCAGTCCGTCCTTTCACAGTTCCTTCCCAGAAGCCACCCTCACCAATACTGAGCACTATGGAAAGAGAAACAGACACACAGATCAGAACAGGCAGAGTACAGAATTATGATGCCCAAGTACATGGTCTGTGGACGTGCACAATCTAGGAAACAAGTCTAGAGTCCGAGCCTGGACACTGGGGAAGGAGCCACCTAAGAGCCCTCGGAAAGGGTTGTCTTTAGTCCTTCCGGCCTCCTCAGTTAGACAGTGAGAGACCTGGGGTGCGTGCAGTGATAGGCTTGGAGAGAGAGCATCCACCCTGTTCACAGGAAGCATTGGAAGGGAAGCCAGGGTGTTCCAGAGACGTCAGGGGCTTTTTGGAAACAAGATCTCAACATAATGAATGTGTTGACTTTGCAACGTCAGATGTCTCCTGCAAGGCAGGGAAGCACTGCCAGTATTTTACAAACAGGGAAACTGAGGCACCAAGGGGACAATGATTTTCCCAAAGCCAAACAGCAAGTCAGTATCAGAGCTGGAATTAGATCCCAGGAGTCTGGCACCCAGCCTCGGGCCCCCAGAACTAGAAAATGCTGCCTCTAAGAGAGCATCTTCCCTGCAAAGAGAGGCGATGCTGTGTTCTTAACTCGGGCTAGCTAACGCAGGTTAAATAGCAGTGAGACCAAGGCCACTCAGGTTTTAACTCAGGTTACAGCCGATACAGGAGTCTGGGGCTGAACTCAAGCTGCTAACCTGAGTTAAGACCTGAGTGGCCTTGTCCTCGCTGCTCTTTTAACCTGAGTTAAGATACAGCCAAGATGTCTTACCTACCATCAGGGCACTTCAACATCAGTGGCAAAATCCTCCCAACCTGTCAGAACTAACTAATAACCTTCCCTTCCCAAGTCACCCGCTCCCAACAGCCCAGGAAAACAGAGAAGCCTTGAAACAGCTCCGGAAGACTAGGCCAAGGGCAGAAGTGAATTCCAGAGCCAAGGGTCCCTCGCTGGCATCTTGCCAGCAACCCTTTTCTGATTAAGCCAGGCACTGGTTGGCTGACACCTCACTGATTCCCGTGCATTACTGCAGCAACAAAGGCCAAAACCAGTAAAAGTTTATAGGTTGAATCCATCATCTTTCATGACCTCTGAAAGTGACTTGGGAGCCAGTGCAGATCCCAGACCACAGGTGTCACGCTCCGCATAAGAGGCTTTGCCAAGCAAGAAAAGCTGGGTTCTGCCCCAGCTGCAGAGCGCTCTGCCGGCACAGCCCCACAAAGGCAGTGCCCAAAGGTGAAACACCTGGATCCCTGTGGGGAAGCCCCAAATGCAACAGTGGTGGTCAGCAACTTTACAGCAAGCACAAGCGGCATGAACTGCTCTCGGAGCACTCAACAGGACCCGGAAGGCTAATCTGAGTAACAAAGGGTGGGCAAAAAGAGAGAGCTCCTAGAATCATCACCAATTCCTCTGGCTGTTCCCCCATCACCACCCCAGTCTCACCCAGATGAAGCCCAAACCAGCTCCCTCTCACCCAAACCCCAGGCACTCAGACGATCGATCACCTTCACCATCCAGGTCCCAGCAAATGGAGCTGTAAGAACTAGTTAGCAAGCCCATGTTGCCAACGCTCAGCTGCAGGCTGAGCCAGAGGAGTAAATGAACAGACCCTTCACTACCACCCGGAATGAGGAAGAGTTGGCCGGTATGGCCCCTGAGTGAAGAATGGAGAAACTGAGACTCATAGACTCATAGACTTTAAGGTCAGAAGGGACCATTATGATCATCTGGTCTGACCCCCTGCATGCTGCAGGCCATAAAACCGTCCCTACCCCTTCCCTGGACTCTGCTGTTGAAGTCCCCAATCCTGTGTTTTAGTGACTTCAATCGGCAGAGACCCTCCTGCTAGCGATCCCTGCCCCACGCTGCAGAGGGAGGCGAAAAACCTCCAGAGGCTCAGCCAATCTACCCTGGAGGAAAATTCCTTCCCGACCCCAAATATGGCAATCAGTAAGACCCCGAGCATATAGGCAAGAGTCTCTAGCCTGACCCCTGTTAGCCATTATACTATTTACCTACCATTGCTTGGTTTTCCTTGACTACTATGTTTTACCATTAAACCATTCCCTCCATAAACTTATCTAACTTAATCTTAAAACCAGACAGGTCCGTCGCCCCCACCGTGTGACTCGTGGGGCACAGGGGACAGATCTGAATTTGATCACTAGCAGGTGGAGCCAATGAGATATTAAGGAATAGATAATACTGATTTATTTCAGCGTGGCACCATTTGAGCCACATAGGGTATCTACACTGCAAAAATGGTGTGTTCTTAAGTCCAATTAGCTAACCTAGGTTAGCTAACTCAGGTTAAAATAGTAGCAAAGACGTGGCAACTTGGCTTTAATGAGGGTTTGCAGCTCGAGTTAAAGCCTGCTGTGGAGCCAGCGTTTGAATTCGAGCTGCTGGCTCACGTAAAAGCCAAGTTGCCATGTCTTCACAATTTTAACCTGAGTTAGCTAAAGCGGGTTAGCCAACCTGAGTTAGCACACAACTCTTTTTGCTGTGTCGACATAACCTTAGACAGGGACTATCGCCTCCTTGCTCCATGACACAAGAACTCTGCATATGCCTCACAAAACTGCAATGGTCTTTCTAAATGCCCTATTATTTATTACAGCGCTCTCGGGTGGGCCGGGCATTTACAGAACAAACACTCCCAAGACCTGACAGTCTGAGGGCTTATTGACATGCAAAATTAAACCAAGTTAACTAAAGGTGTGCATGTAAAGTGAGGTACTTAGACACAGACTTCAAGGCCATAAGGAACTATCATGAACTAGTCTGACCTCCTGCATGTCACAGGCCACAGAACCTCACCCACCCGCTCCTGGAGTAGACCCCTAACCTCTGGCTGAGTCACTGAGGCCCTCAACTCTTGATTTAAAGACTTCAGGTTACATAAGAACGGCCATACAGCGTCAGACCAAAGGTCCATCTAGCCCAGGACCTTGTCCTCTGACAGTGGCCAATGCCAGGTGTCCCAGAGGGAATGAACAGAACAGGTAATCATCAAGTGATCCATCCCCATCACCCATTCCCAGCTTCTGGTAAACAGAGGCTAGGGACACCATCCCTGCCCATCCTGGCTAATAGCCATTGATGGACCTATCCTCCATTAACTTATCTAGTTCTTTTTGAACCCTGTTATAGTCTTGGTCTTCACAGCATCCTCTGGCAGGGAGTTCCACAGGTTGACTGTGCATTGTGTGAAAAAATGCTTCTTTTTATTTGTTTTAAACCTGCTGCCCATTAATTTCATATGGTGGCCCCTAGTTCTTGTGTTATGAGAAGGAGTAAATACCACTTCCTTACTCACTTTCTCCACACCAGTCATGATTTTATAGACCTCAACCATATCCCCCCTTAGTCGTCTCTTTTCCATGCTGAACAGTCCCAATCTTATTAATCTCTCCTCATACGGAAGCTGCTCCATACCCCTAATCATTTGTGTGGCCCTTTTCTGAACCTTTTCCAATTCCAATATGTCTTTTTTGAGATGGGGCAACCACATCTGCACGCAGTATTCAAGATGTTGGCGTACCATGAATTTGTATAGGGTCAATATGATATTTTCTGCCTTATTATCTATTCCTTTCTTAATGATTCCCAACACTCTGTTCACTATTTTGACTGCCACTGCACATAGAGTGGATGATTTCAGAGAACTATCCAAAATGACTCCAAGATCTTTCTTGAGTGGTAACAGCTAATGTAGACCCCATAATTTTATATGTATAGTTGAGATTATGTTTTCCAATGTGCAGTACTTTGCATTTATAAACATTGAATTGCATCTGCTATTTTGTTGCTCAGTCCCCCAGTTTTGTGAGATCCCTTTGTAGCTCTCCGCAGTCTGCTTGGGATTTAACTAGCTTGAGCAGTTTGGTATCATTTGCAAATGTTGCCACCTCGCTTTCTGCCCTTTTTCCAGATCGTTTATGAATACGTTGAATAGGACTTGGTCCCAGAACAGATCCTTAGGGGACACCACTATTTAACTCTCTCCATTCTCAAAACTGACCATTTATTCTTACCCTCTGTTTCCTATCTTTTCATCAGTTACTGATCCATGAGAGGACCTTCCCTCTTATCCCATGACAGCTTACTTTGCTTAAGAATCTTTGGTGAGGTACCTTGTCAAAGGCTTTCTGAAAATCTAAATACACTATATTAACTAAAACAACAAGGAGTCCTTGTGGCACCTTAGAGACTAACAAATTTATTTGAGCTTAAGCTTTTGTGGGTTATAACCCACTTCATCAGATGCATGGAGTGAAAAATACAGTAGGCAGGTATAAATTCACAGCACATGAAAAGATGGGAGTTGCCTTACCAAGTCAGAGGGGTCAGCATGGGGAGAAGGTGACCAGCCCTCTGTGGAGAAAGAAGTGGTTCGGGACTATTTAGAAAAACTGG